GAGCCTTGAAGATTTCCTATGTCCTGATGATGTAGCATGGCAGAGAAACACAAATGTTTCTCCACTTCATTTTGAGCAAGGAGTGCTCTATAATTTATTCAGAATAAAACGCAATTTCTTCTGGGTGGAACTCCAACCCCTGTCTGCCAATGTCAGCTCCCAACCCACTGTCATATTTGATTTTTCCTTACCCTAATGTTAATTCCCAGTGTTGAGAACTACTCTCAGTACTAAGAACCACTTTCAGAGGCGGATGAGGAGGAACAGTGAAAAGGTTTATCTAATCCTCTGCTCTGATACTGAAGCACTTTCTCTGACCTTGGAGTGAGAGATTTATTCTTGTTCCAAGGATTATAGGTCTGCAGCCTGAATAGACTCAAAATAAATTATTTCTTAAGAATATCATTCAACATAATTTCAGCAACCAGCAGGCAGTGTATGGCAATGGCCCATTTTTGAAATGAGATGCCAGCTAATTTTGTTTAATTTATATGTGCTAAATTTAACTAGATTTTATTTTCATCCAAGGAGACTAAACTAAACTCCTTTCATCCAAGGAGACTAAACTAAAAGCATTAAAGGGAGAACTTGTTACTAACTACGTATATCATTTTTCCCTCTCCAATTTATTATATTTGTTTATAATGCAACTGACAGTTTTCCAGAGTTTTCCCTTGTTGTTATATAAATCCATTAACCAGTTTCTTTCTCACCCAATCTTTCTTTAAGTTTTTTTTAAAAATCACAAATACTTAAAGAAAATCAATGCATTTACATTTAAAATATCCATAGAGAAATGGAACTTGAAGCAGTGATAACATTAACCTCTGTGCAGGCATTATGCCCGAGAATATTAGAGGAACATGTAAAAGAGGCAAAGGACTGCTCCTAAGTAGCCCCAGACACAAGGGAGGATGGGAAAATCTTTTCTAAAAGAGGCTGGGACCATCCTTTGTCAAGAACATAGGTGGCATTGCCTAAGTTTGCAGCTCCAGGCTCTCTACACCCAGGAGAAACATGAGCAACTGTTCTTTCAGGCACCATTAATTTTAAACAGTGCAGCTAAACATTGGGTGCAGAAGCCTAGAATAAAGTCAGTGGGATTTCTTCCCAAAAGCAGGGATGAGAAAGTTTTTAATGAAAACCTTGGGAAAAGTCTATGTGGGAGCACAAAGCTAAAGCCAATAGTAGGTGGGGCCAGAAGTGTGGCTAGAGCTTGATTTTTTCTAGATTTTTTTCTTCTTTTTGTGGATTTTCTAGTATTTCTCTGTTTTCCCAGAAATCACAGGGAAGAGGGCATGGGTGTTGGTGACAGACACCCTCCCCTGCTTCCTCTTTGCTACAGAAGCATTGGTCATTCTCTTTATCCTTCCAATCAGATGATGATGATGATGATGATGATGATGATGATGATGATGATGATGATGATGATGATGATTTATTAAACGTGTGTCCCTGGTTGCCTTTAATAACCAGGAATGGCAAGGGACAAATATATATAGGGCTGGTCTCATGCTAAGACATGTATTTCCATATCCAAAGGTGGTATGACTAACAGATGATGTCCAAAGGCAGTATGGTTAACTGATGTATCACTTAGTCCATTTGTAGAGCATGCCTCTCCCTGCAGCTTAAGAAAATAAAGAGAGAACTGCACTCCCACATGATAAAAATTAAGGAAAGGACCACCTTTATCTTCTAGATAACCTGGCAGAACAGCTCAAAGGAAGTCATTCTTGTTCCAAGAGTCTTCCTAGATGCCTTTTTAGTAGTATCGTATCACATGTCTTATCATTTCCCATGGATTGGGAGCAGAAGTCTTCCAGTTCAGAATGTAATATATGAACTCACTGGGAGACCCTGGGTCAGTCACTCTCTCTCTCAATCCAATCTGTCTTACAGGGTTGTTGCTATGCTGTATCAGGAGGAGGAGGAGGATGGAGCATATGCCACCTGGAGCTCCTGAATAAAAAGCAGAACATGCAACTAAGGAGCAAACAATTTTTGCTTCCTATAGTAACTTTTTTCAGTGCAAGTACATCATTTGACGAACTATCACACAAAAGCATAACTGGCATCAGAATTACAGTAAATTTCAGATAATGCATAAAAACAAGCCTATTAATCAGTGGTATTATTGAATTTGTCAGAGAATGCAACCTGACCAGCTTTGTGTCCTGTTCAGCTCTCAGGTGTGGTATGTTCTGTACTGAGTGAGAAATAAGGCTCAAGGAAATGAGGTTTTGGAGTATAATCTTTCCTTCACTGGGAATTAAGCCATCACATTCAATACAAGAAAAGCCACAATGATTGTATCACTTAGTAAAGATGGCTGCTGCTAAAATTGCCATTTCCTGGTGTACTGGAAGTGGCCAAGTTAAAGATGGTGAGTCATTATTCTTGAAGTAAGCTTTCCTAGAGAGGTCTGAAGAGATGATGATGAGAGGTATAAGATCATTCCTGAAGTCTTCCCATAAATAAGTATTAGTTGCATTTACTTTCAGCAGTTAAGTTTGAGAAGCTCTTATATTCTAGGTAGGGGTGGGAAAATATGCCTGTCAACCTATTTTCATATGACCCTAAACTTAATCTGAAAAGCTGTTTGTTAGATATTAGTTCAGGTTTTTTGTTAAGAGATATTGCTTCTTCTCTGTAGCTATTACTTCAACGAGAGAGAAAAGCGTGTCAGAAGTGGTATGAGAGAAAACAAAGTGTGCCTGAAAGGAAAAAGGGAAGTGTCAGAGAAAGAATATGGGTTTCCAATCTTCTTCAGCTCTGGCCTCAGCCTGTGCTTGTTTCAGCTCCCTTTACCCAGAACAGTATTTCTCAACCTCAGCAACATTGAGATGTGTGGACTTCAACTCCCAGAATTCCCCAGCCAGCCTGAAAGCTGCCAAGGTTGAGAAACACTAACTAGAGAATACTGCTCTTGACAGAAAAGATGCTGCCCATCCCTTTGTTGAGATTTTGTAGTAAAGAAGGTAGAAAAAATTGACCTTCTGTTCTATGTAGCAAATATTGAATTATTGTAAGTGCTTTCTCTGTCTGCTTCACTCTGTCATACACTGGGCAAGAGGAGATATGTGCTAAACCATAGCTTAGCATTACATGGTTTAAACTTGGCCTTTTGTGTTCCTAGCTCTCTTCATCCTGTAAGGCAACACCTGCTTTCAGTTTAAAAGTAGTCATAAATAGCCATGTCATAGAAATCCTCACTTTGTTGGCTGAGGGTGTTGTAAATCACATTCAACACATTTAGAAGGTATTATGTCTGGCAACTGTTGTATGCCATTCAATGTCAGGATTCAGATATGGGAAATAGAATGGTACACTATGAAATCTATTTTCTGTATTTTTCATTTATTCTTAGATGTTCATTATTTATTTACAATAACGTCTATGCTGCTTCAGTTGGGCTGATTGTAAGTGACTTGTAAAAACTCAAAATGCTGTAAAGTTGCACCCAACCATGACTATAGACAAATCAAATCAAATATCTTTATTAAGGTCTTTGACCAGCCTTTGCAGTAGGGGGAAAAGAAAAGAAAAGAAATTGTTTAATACAACAATTCACTATCGGGGGGGGGACGGGACAATAAGACAATAAAACAACTTATCTAATTAAAAGTTTTGTGCAGTTGTATGATTTGAAGAAGGTATTTGGCCACCAGGTATGTGAATGTAGCATTAGCATCCCTTAAGAAGTAATAAACATAGAATTTATCAGTACGGCCCTCAAATTTATAGATGACTGGGGAGATCAGAGCACGTCTTGGGGCATCATAAAAAGGGCACCATAGGAAGTCATGAGCAGAAGTTTCTGCCTCCCTGGATCCACAGGGTCAAAGACCCTGTAAACAAGGAGTCCCATGAAATCCTCCCCCCAACAGTGCTGAAGGGAGGGCATCAAGTAGGCTCTGGAAAAACCCCATCCATATTTGCTTACTGTTCTGCCTTGGCTGGAAAGTGGCTCATCTCTAATTAAAAAACTGAAGTCAGAAAAGCCTGATTTGGCTATTTCCAATAAAGTCAGAACAGTTCATTTCAGTGTGGAATGTTTCCATTCCGAGTTCAAGGCAGGATGTTTCAAGATCAGAATGTTTCAACCTCAAAATATTTTGCACAACTCCAGTGAACTATATATTCTATCCTTCTTCCATTTTATTAAAAGTGAAAATTGGATGTGATGTAACTATGGTTGTTGTTTTTTTGTTTCATTTTATTTTGTTTCATTTTTCAGATTTCCTACATAATTTTCCCAAATGTTATCATTTTTGTTTGCATGATTCACTTTGAAGTTGCCTAGATAACAACATTCTCATTTACATTAAAATAAAACTCACTGTATGTAATAGTTTGAAAAAGCAGGAGTAATTAGATTGCATTACCCCCAGTTATAATACATCTGATATATTTATATCCTGCAAGTTTTCTATTAATCCAGATGGTGCATTTAAGCATTATAGACTCAACTGCTCTTTAGATCAGGCAGTGTAACAGTTTTCCTAACATACTTATGAGATATGAAATGCCTTAATATTTCAGCACTACTCAGAAATCAATCTGCTGGACTAGGTTTCAGATTTCTTGCCATAGGTTATACTGTGGCAGATTCAAGATAGAACTGGCAGAATACTTCTTAGATGTATTTTATCTGGAGCATAGACCCAGTTAGAGATAGGACTACTAAATAAGGGGGAAATTTTCCTTGTGTAGAAGTACATTCAATGTTAATGTATATCTTATGCTTTGGATGTTGGGATTCACAGCCAGGTCCTTGGGCATCACCAAATTTGTGCATTAAGAGAAATGAACAGGGAAGGATGTCCTACAATGGAAAAAAGGTCAAACATGAAGGACTCTTTAAGCTAAGAAATAATTCTACAAGAATAGCAGGGAAGAAGCCTGGAGATGCACATTACCCATCATTCATTTAAGGATTTGGTATTACAAACCAAAAACCTGTAGATCTTAAGTATACCTTCTTACTGTCTCTGCAGGAGATGCCAAGCTTCGTTTTGGTAACAGCCATACCTCAGTCACCTTGGGCAGCCTCCTGGATGATCAGCATTGGCACTCAGTTCTCATTGAGCGATTCAATAAGCAAGTGAATTTCACAGTGGACAAGCACATGCAACATTTCCGGACCAAGGGAGATTCTGATGACTTGAATATTGATTATGAGGTGTGTTGGACATTTTATGTTGAAGATGGCACTCATTGGGACTGCAGAGAACTTGGCTTTATGAATGATAACAGAAATATTTCTATTGTCCTCATTTTTACAAGGTTCATGAATTAAATAAATATTGTAGGTTTTACCATTTTAAAAGAGGGGGGAAAAACCAATTTATGTACAGAAGCCATAATATAGATTATAGCAAATTTTGGGATTTAGACCAGGGGTGGAAAAACTTTTGGTGGTTGCAAGTTGCTCTTGACAGAGAAGGAAGTGGGGTACAAAGACCAAGAATGCAAAGTGGGGGTGACCATGTAGTACATATGGATCAGGCTGATATTATTATACTTCTCACATTTTTCTGATGTTGGGTATCTTTTAGCAACTCTACTGAGCCAAATTTAGGTTTTTATTATACATTTATATATTTATTCAATTTCTACTGTATGCCATCAAATCCTTATTTATGCATAGTGGCATATTTTTGTACGTTTCTCATCAGTTTTCAACTGTCACATCACCAAAACTCAATTGTACAAAATGCTTATTCATGGATCCCTGAAGACACAGATTGTCCAACTCTGCCTAAAGCAAGGGTGAAGAATTAGTAACCATGCCAAGGTTTCAGTGTTGTAACTCCCAGCATCATGTTGGCTGGGGCTGCTGTAAACTGTAGTTTAGCTACAAGTGAGAGTTCTCAGATTCCCTTATCCTGCCCTAAAAATTACAGCTATTAATGTAATCACTCTGTTAAGTACACAGTAAGTGGCATGTTATAAATAGCTATGTTGTAACTATTGTGTTTCATTGTAACTGAAGAGTGAAAATAGGAAGCCATATAAAAATATTTTAGCTAAATACATGTAAATGCAGCTAGCAAGAACATGGCTAAATGTGTGTCAAGGTATCATGGATATGGGGAATTCTGCAAATATTTTAAAAATATTTAAAAGTTGCTGAGGTTGAGAAACAGTGTTCTAGATGGCAGAGGTGAAGTTATTTCCGATATTTTTTTATTTCATTTATGTATTTGTTTCTCTAACCTAGTCATTTCATGCATTGTAGCATGGTCCCAAAGAGGGACTTGTTTTCCTTAACTTCATCTTTGCCTGTTCCACCTTATTTTCTCCAAGCTGACCCTGTATTCTGGTTATTTTATTTGTTCTCCTATGTTCCTTGCCTCCTATGTGACTATGGAAAGGCATATACAACAGGAGTAGAATATTTGCTTTTAGCTTCAAATAATAAATGCACTGTTGTGGATAGAAATTTCCAAGATAAGATATTTCTGTTGCATAAAGTTGGAGACCTAAAATAATTCCTTAAAACTGTAGCGTCCAAGAGCGTAGGCTGTAGAAAGAAGAGCTAACTCAAGTATTTAAAAATGAGATGAAAAATGTTGTTGACACTGTCACCCCACGCACACCTACTTGAATGTCTTGGGACTTACACCCCAATTTAAATGTGCATTGGATGTTACCCTTATGCTTATAAGGCCATCCCTGTCTATTGATGCTTAAGAAGTCTCACATAGTTATTTTAATTAGCTTGGAGGAAGATATTTATACCATAGAAATAATAGGTTTCTCTTCACTGAAGCAAAGAGGTAAATGTAATTTGCCTCCACAAAACAAAGTTGCATTGCCTTGAACTGTTTGGGGACATCATTCTCTCCAAACACTGGGTATTAATGTTTTCAAGGCTGTGCAACTTCAGTACATGTTGCAATAGTCGAGCCTGGGTGGGTTTGGAGCAGTGTGCATTGAAGCTGCCCAGCATGGAAGAATTTTGAGGGCTAAGAGGGCTCTAGACTCAGTGACTTTGACACACACTGCAAGTACCCCACAATCCCCAGAAAATCTAACTGGAAACACTTTGGCCAACAGAGCATCTCAAAGTCTTCTCCTGTAAGGTGAATTCTAGGTGGGGGGCTAAGAGGAGGTGCAAAGCAGAGCAATACTCTTCAGAGCAAAAGAAACATGTTGTTTTGCTAAACAGAATGAAGGGGATGCTTCATCAGAGTAAAGCACCCCTTCAAATATTTCTATAGCCTTTCTCTCATACCTTTAAAATTTCAGAATAGCATGTACAATCAATGGGAGAAGAATACTCAGTTATATGTGCTCTGTTACTGGCAACATATTAACATTAAATGAGCTATCGGTCATATAATGCATTAGTGTTATGACATTAACACTATGATCTAGTCCCAAAGTGATTTGGGATGAAACTGAATTGAGAGAATGCTGGAAGGAGTATTTTAGAGATTTTTATAGGGATAATAGTAATATGTCAGAGAATGGAACTGAAATGAATGCAACAAATGTTAGTCTGCAAGAAAAAAAATGATGAAAAGGAAGGCATAAATGCTATGAGAATGTTGAAAAATGGTGAGGCTTCAGGGCCAGATGGTGTCAACTGCAGAAATGTTAAAATATGGATACAGTTTGCTTATGGAGTGATTGTGTGACTTGCTCAGTGTGTGTGTGTGAAGGCAGCATTTGTGTCTGATAATTGGAGGAATGCTGTTATTGTTCTGTTGTGCAAAGGAAAGATAGCGTGAGTAAATGCAAAAGCTGCAGGGGGTAGTTTTAGATAGTTAAGTGTACTTAGGCAGATGTTTGACAGAACTCTGACTGAAAGAGTAGGAGAGATATCAGTGAACCAAATTTGGGAAGAGCAGTCCAGTTTTATGTCAGACAAAGGGAGGATGGACCAGTTATTTTCTCTTCACCAGAATGCTGAGAAATGTATGAATGTGAGAAAGAAAGTTTATTATATGACTTAGAGAAAATATTAACATTGAAAACTTGAATTATGGATTGATTTGTGAATGTGGAGTTGAAGGTTGATTGTGAAATATAATAGAGGTGTACAATAGAAGTAAAGTTATAAGACAATAACTGGAACATTGAGTGATGGAATAAAAGAAGATTGTGGATTGTTCCCTTGGTTTCTTGAATGTATTTATGGGTAAATCTATCTTGAATGCTTTTAGTGACATTAAAGGTGTATTGGTACAGATGGAAATCTGTAATTTTGTATGCAGATGATGCCACGTTGTTTGTGAGAACCCAGATGGTTTGCCATGAATGTTAGATAGACTGTATGATGCCACAAGGATTATTAATCTTTTTTTTAAATAACTTTATTAAATTTTAAAACAGAAACAGTAACAAATAGCAAGAACTAATATTAAAGAAAGTAAAAAGAAGAAAATTTAGAAAGAGTAGTCAAGATCAAAAGTGCAGAAAACAAGAAATGAAAAGAAAAAAGCAAAGAAAGAAAAAGAATTGACTTCTGACCCTCCTCACAACAGATATAAGTAGCAGGATACATCAAACCCTTGCTCTAAGTTTACAACTTAACTTTCATTATTTCTATTAACCCATATTATTTCTAATCATCAAATCCATACAACATAATTTATTATTATTTTTGTTTCCCACAAAAAGTCCAGAAAAGGTTTCCAATTAACATTAAAATTACACAGAATCAAAGCCATCAATTTCGCCATCTCAGCCAACTCCATCAACTTCACCATCCATTCTTCCATTGTAGATAATGTCACATCTTTCCACCTCTGTGCATATAAAAGCCTTGCTGCTATTATTATATATAAGAACAAAATGAGTTTTTTCCAACTGTTTGTCCATCAAACCAAAGGAAAGTCTGCGGTTTTGATTGTATGCCAGTCCTTAAAATCTTCTGAATTAAAATGTGTATCTGATTCCTTTTTTTTTTTGCTTTTTTACAAGTCCACCAGAGCTGATAAAAAGTCCCTTCTTGTTGTTCACATTTCCAACATACATTCAAAGTGCTTTTATACATTTTAGGTAATATTTCTGGTGACAAATACCAATGATACATAATTTTATAAAAA